CTATAATTTTAATTCGGTTCAAAACAATAAAAAAATCAACTAACAAAACATGAAACCAAACTCATTTTCATTTTTACTGATATCAAAACTACGCAATAAACTCAATTGCTCAAATAAAACAAAAGAAAAAAATCTAGGAAAAACTCATTATAACAACCTGAATTCTTTAGATCGGATATCTAATATCCACATACGCATTGATCATATGACATCCGGTCTAGAGAATTCAGATTCTATTATATACTAGACCGGATATCTAATATCCAATTAGTTCTGGAAGGTGAAAGATCATCTACGCACCCATCTTGTATGTATGAGCTTTAGGAAAAAAATATCAATCACAATTCTAATTTATAATAAAAGTTTACAACCAAATTTTTTTAAAAATAATTTTACGCTTAACAATTTACAATTTTAAAACTTCTTAACCAATCACCCCCAACTAATAAAAAACAAGTTTCATCTAGTGGTTTGAAATTCGATTTTCAGAAAATATGAATTATTACAAATTAATGGAAGCAATTATCAAATGCCTATTCATCTTGTCAGGTCGTTATGTATATGTAAAGCCTGAGATTTTGTGTGGGGAAAAAAAAAATTCGTTGTAGATTTACAGAAAAAATCTTCTATCTTAAGATTCTATAATATTAATAAAGTTACTCGTTGTGAAATCAATAACAAAAAATTTATAATTAACGAAGTAACCAAAATTGTTATGTTATATTTTTTTTGTCTAGTTTTTTTTAACTCATTATTAATTGATTTCCAAAAAAACTTTTTTTGAAAATATTTCCTGAAACAATTAAGGCCCACTAATATCTGTAAAGCCCATAAAGCTTTTCTCCTTCCTCCTTTCCCTTTTCTTCTTCATTTCTTCGCCGAGATCGCGAAGTTTTCCCGACCATCGTCACCTCCAAAAACCCTCCAAATCTGATCTCTGCAAAACTCCACTTCCCATGTCTCCTTCCGAAATCTAATCACTACCTTTAACACTAACCCATCTAATCAAAATCCTCCACATCAAAATGTCGTCTTCCAATTCTCTAATGGACAATTTGTTCCAACGAAGTCTCGAAGATCTAATCAAAGGCTTTCGTCATCATCTTCTCGGAGAATCAAATTTCATTTCCAGATCCTTAGAAGAAATCCGACGAGAGATCAAATCCACAGATCTCTCAACTAAATCCACCGCTCTTCAAAAACTCACTTACCTCTCCGCACTTCACGGCGTCGACATGTCGTGGGCAGCTTTTCACGCCGTAGAAGTCGTCTCCTCTTCACGATTCCATCACAAGAAGATCGGTTACCAAGCGATTACTCAATCGTTTCATGAACAAACCTCGGTTCTGCTTCTGATCACTAACCAATTGCGTAAGGATTTGAACAGTGGTAATGAATACGAAGTTAGTCTAGCTCTTGAGTGTTTGTCTAGGATTGGAACTCATGATTTAGCTAGTGATTTGACTCATGAAGTGTTTACATTATTGAGTAGTAGTAAATGTTTTGTGAGGAAGAAAGCAATTGGTGTTGTTTTACGGGTTTTCGATAAGTGTCATGATGCGGTTAAGGTGTGTTTTAAGCGGCTTGTCGAGAATCTCGAAAGCTCGGACACGCAGATTCTGTCTGCTGTTGTTGGAGTGTTTTGTGAGCTTGCAAGTAAAGATCCGGGTTCTTGTCTTTCATTAGCTCCTGAGTTTTATAAGATACTTGTTGATTCGAAGAACAATTGGGTTTTGATTAAGGTTCTTAAGATATTTGCTAAGTTGGTTTCGATTGAGCCGAGGTTGGGTAAGAAAGTGGCTGAGCCTATCTGTGAACATATGAGGAGGAGTGTGGCGAAGGCTTTGGTGTTTGAGTGTGTTAGAACAGTGGTGAGTAGCTTGAGCGATCACGAAGTAGCTGTGAAACTTGCGGTTGGAAAGATACGGGAGTTTTTGGTGGATGATGATCCGAATCTTAAGTATCTTGGTTTACATGCCTTGTCGATTGTTGCGCCAAAGCATTTGTGGGCAGTTTTGGAGAACAAAGAGGCTGTTGTCAAGGCTTTGAGCGATGAGGATCCAAATGTTAAGCTAGAGGCATTGCATCTTGTAATGGCAATGGTGAATGAAGATAATGTGTCGGAGATCTCTAAGATTCTTATGAATTACGCACTAAAATCAGACCCTTTGTTCTGCAACGAGATTATTTTTTCCGTCTTATCGGCATGCTCCAGGAATGCATACGAGATCATAATTGACTTTGATTGGTATTTGTCTCTTCTTGGTGAAATGGCTAGAATCCCACATTGTCAAAGAGGGGATGAGATTGAGCATCAGTTGATCGATATCGGTATGAGGGTCAGAGATGCTAGACTGCAGCTAGTTCGTGTTTCTTGGGCACTTCTGATTGATCCTGCATTGCTTGGTAACTTGTTCTTGCACCCGATACTATCCGCAGCTGCGTGGGTTTCAGGGGAATACATTGAGTTCTCTAAGAATCCATATGAAATCGTGGAGGCGCTTCTGCAACCACGCACTGATCTCTTGCCGCCATCCATAAGAGCCATCTACATACAATCAACTTTCAAAGTTCTCGTCTTCTGTCTTAGATCTTGCATGTCGGCCGAAGAACCTACTTTGTCATCCGTGGCTGAGGAGTCTAGTTTTGGCTCTTCATCAATGAATGCTTTAACACATGAATCTATATTGAACTTGGTGAATGTGATTGAGGTTGGTTTGGTTCCGTTATCTGGAACCCTTGATGTTGAAATGCAGGAGAGAGCTAAGAATGTTTTAGGATTCATCGGCATGATAAAGCAAGAAATAGCTGAGAAAGTAAACCTCCAAGACAATGAAAGAGAAGCTTATAGGGTCACAGCATTCATGGAAGATGTTTTCTCAGAAGATCTCGGTCCCGTTTCTGCAACTGCACAGGGAAAAGTTTGTGTGCCGGATGGGTTAGAGCTGAAAGAGAATCTTGGGGATTTGGAAGATGTCTGTGGGGAATTTCTTAAACCCGTGGAATCCGATTTGGCTTCGTACATGGACAAGATCAGCTTTTCTGTCTCCAAACTCAGAATCAGAGATCAACAAGAAGCCTCGTCATCTTCATCTCTTCCAACTGAAGGTGTTGCTTCATCTCTGCTAGCTGAACACCGCAAACGCCATGGCATGTATTATCTTAGTTCGCAGAAGAGCGATCCGGATAGCGACAGCACGCCAGGCGATTATCCTCCGGCTAATGATTTAGCAAACGAGACATCCATGGATCCGTTTAACCATAAGAGAAAGCCAAACCAATCAAAACCGAGGCCTGTAGTGGTGAAACTAGACGAGGGAGATGAATCAAGAGATACTCTCCAAGCGAAAACAAATCCAGAGATTGTAAAAGATGGCGAATCTTTGTCCCGAGCAATCCAAAGCGCTCTTCATGT